ATATATATATATATATATATATTTATAAATCGGATAGTTCCGGTGTCACATTTCACTCAAGGGAGCACTAGAACGAAGGAGCGAGGAGATGAGGAGTAAAACAAATCAAAAGGGTTTAATGAGGGTAACGCTTGGAACAGAGGGAACACTGGAGACATCAAGCAGACAACATGACATTTAACAGCAGATGGGAAACACTGGGAAACACGTGGTTTAAATGCACAGAAACTAATGGGACACACCTGGGAACAATACGAACTAAACGGGGAACACCTGGACTCAAATTAGAAACAATCAGGGAGCAGGAACAGGAAGAATACCAAATAAGGGCAAGGAAGGCAAATGGGGAGCAAAACACACACACACGACAGAAACAGAGTGTAACGCCCCCTCCGGAAAGCGTGTCCTCACGCCACACAACATCAATGGGGAGAGAGGAGGGGTGCCTTGGAGGTTCCTCAGGACAGACTCATATGGAACCGGGATGCCTCCAAGGCAGTACCAGATCCGGGCATCATGGCGGAGCAGGCAGCTGGGGAAGCCATGGCGGATCAGCGAGCCCGGGGAACCATGGCGGAACCGGGAGCTCAGGAGGCCATGGCGAAGCAGGCAGTTCAGGAGGCCATGGCAGAGCAAGGAACTCAGGGGACAGAAACAGAGTCTGACATAACGCCCCCCTCCGGAAGGCGTGTCCTCACGCTACACAACATCAACGGGGAGGGGGGGGGGGGACGCCTTGGAGGTCCCTCAGGACAAACTTATATGGAACCGGGATGCCTCCAAGGCAGTACCAGATCCGGGCAGCATGGCGGAGCAGGCAGCCCGGGAAGCCATGGTGGATCAGGGAGCCCGGGGAACCATGGCGGAGCCGGGAGCTCAGGAGGCCATGGCAGAGCAGGGAGCTCAGGATGCCATAGTGGAGCAGGCAGTTCAGGAGGCCATGGCAGAGCAAGGAACTCAGGGCCCATGGTGGAGTAGGGAGCTCGGGAGGCCATGGCAGAGTATACAGTTCAGGAGGCCATGGCGGAGTAGGGAGTTCGGGAGGCCATGGTGGAGTATACAGTTCAGGAGGCAATGGCGGGGGAGGCTCTTACGCCGCGGACCCAACCCCCCCCACCCAGCCCCCGCCCCGGCCTCTACGGCTGGAGCCCCACAACCCCTCCCCCCCAAAAAACCTGGGGGGAATTACGGGCATCTTTGCAGGAACGGGGTCATGAGGGCGCTCTGGAGGGTGCTTTCGAGGAGCGGGCTCTGGAGGGCGCTCTGGACTGAAACTCGGGGGCAGGAGCCCTCACTGGGCTAAACTTGGGGACAGGAGCACTCACTGGGCTAAACTCGGGGGCTGGAACCCTCTCTGGGCTAAACAGGGAATCAGGAGCCCTCCCTGGGCTTAACTGGAGATTCGGAGCCCTTCCTGGGCTGAACTGGGGATCTGGCAGAGTATACAGTTCAGGAGGCCATGGCGGAGTAGGGAGTTCGGGAGGCCATGGTGGAGTATACAGTTCAGGAGGCAATGGCGGGGCAGCCTCTGAGGCCGCGGACCCAGCCCCCGCCCCGGCCTCTATGGCTGGAGCCCCACAACCCCTCCCCCCCAAAAAACCTGGGGGGAATTACGGGCATCTTGGCAGGAACGGGGTCATGAGGGCGCTCTGGAGGGGGCTTTCGAGGAGCGGGCTCTGGAGGGCGGAGCGAGCTCTGGGGCTGGAGCCGACACTGGAGCGAGCTCTGGGGCTGGAGCCGACACTGGAGCGAGCTCTGGGGCTGGAGCCGACACTGGAGCGAGCTCTGTGGCTGGAGCCGACACTGAAGGGAGCTCTGGGGCTGGAGACGACACTGGATCGAGTTCTGGGGCTGGAGCCGACACTGGGGCAAGCTCTGCGGATGGAGCTGACACTGGGGCGAACTCTGGGGCTGGAGCTGACACTGGGGCGAGCTCTGGGGCTGGGATGAGGGCTGTGAACCGTCTTTTCCTCCTCATCCTTCTCCCTTGGTTACCAGTGAATTGGGAGGCCAGCGGGCTTGTGTGAGCCGCAGCCGGTGGGCTCGACATCGGAGCAGCCAGCAGGCTTGACATCGGCGCGGCCAGCGGGCTGGAGAGAGCCGCGGCTGGCAAGCTTGACTGTGGAATGGCCAGCGGGCCTGAGACAGCGGCGGACTTGTGTGCTGAACGGCCGGAGGGCTTGGGTAAGCCACAGCCTGCGGGCTTGGGAATGCCACAGCTGGCAGGCTTGACTTAGGAAGGAGGGGACTACTGTGTGATGCCTCTGGGCTGGCGGAGAGGAGACGGGATCTGGTGACGAACCGAGCCAGGTTGATGTAATCGGGCAGGGTCCACCTGGAACCTGCCAGTGGCATCCGTTGAGCAATCCCCTCATCCAAACCACTCCGGAAACAGTCCACTAGAGTCCACCGGTCCAGGGAAATCTGCTTAGAGCAGGTGCGGAATTCCTGAATGTACTCATCCAGCGGCCTGCCATCCTGATAAACTGCACATAAACGTTCAAGGGGATCCATCAAAAAAACCAAAAGAAAACACTTTCAAAATTGGGAAAAAAAAACATGGAGAGTAGGGGTACCGCTTACTGTTTAAAGGTCTGCTGTTCTGTCACGTTTCACACAAGGGAGCACTGGAACGAAGAAGTGAGGAAACGAGGAGTAATACAAATCAAAAGGGTTTAATGAGGGTAACGCTTGGAACAAAGGGAACACTGGAGACATCAAGCAGACAACATGACATTTAACAGCAAACGGGAAACACTGGGAAACACAGGGTTTAAATGCACAGAAACTAATGGGACACACTTGGGAACAATACGAACTAAACGGGGAACACCTGGACTCAAATTAGAAACAATGAACAGGAACAGGAAGAATACCAAATAAGGGCAAGGAAGGCACATGGGGAGCAAAACACACACACACACACACACACGCACAGGACAGAAACATAGTCTGACATCCGGTCCTTGATTCTGATTGGTTGAGCCAAGTTCAAAGCTGTTGTAAATTACTCTACAAACATACACCTTTGTTTACATTTGTGTGTTGCTCGGAAAACCACTTTGTTGGAACCACAACCGTTTCTGAGGAACTACATTGTTTAGCGGAAGAATAATGTTTTTATTAATATCATTACACTTTTTTGCTCTATTTTATTTTGTGAAACCTTACTACGTATATGGAATAACCGTTTTATGGTTCTGGAAGTAACCATTTTATAAAAGCAATAAGTCCCGTGAAGCCGTGGTTTACAGTGAATTTATAACAGCTAAGGGGTGTTGTTAGGCATTGTTGCCTAAAACCCCCTTAGCTGTTATAAATTAGCTGTCTTCTTGGGGCTTATTTCTTTAGTAAACCATGGCTTCTTGGGGCTTATTGCTTTAATATATATATAAAATATTTGCTTTTACCTTAAAATTTACTTTCTATCTGTGATTAAATATTCACTACTTGTTATTGCTACTCAGGGGGCATTCTCATAGAGACCATTTTACTGGACCAAATTTTGGATGAGCCCCTGAGTGCAAGACAAGTCATCAATCCTTTTTGTTCACTTTCCTGGAACAGAAAGAATTATTTAGAAGTCAAATTTAGGGAAAACGCCAGCATACTGATCTAATCTAATAGACATGGGGCTAAAAGCCACAAAGCGCTCCAAATGGAATTCAGTGGGGTCTTAAAATATCAGCATCTCAAATATATGAAAAAAATCCAGTGGGTGATTTTAAGGTGTCAGAGCTCCCTGATATAAGCATACAATAACTTGAAGAGTGCGTTTTTATTCTTTAATTGATAAATGCTTTTTTAATAAACAAGGATGTTCAACAAGCGTTCAACCCATACATCAGTGCATAACCTGCTTCATCAGAAAGCCCACAAGTTTCCAGAAGTAAATCCTTCTTTCTAGTTGGTCTGTTTTGTAATTATAATGGAAGTCCATGAAAGCCTGATCACTTTGGCTGGGTGAAACATACAGTAAGCAATCAGAGTCATAATCATTCTAAAGATTCGAGTATGTGAGGTGATGATTGTGATTGTGGATTTGTGTGTGAGGGCTCAGAAACACGACATACTAAATTGCAATGATTTGAATTCGTGAAATGAGTTTCGACACTGATGCATTTCCACCCCTAAGTTAAAAACAAAAACAATCATCAGCTTCTTAGAAATTCTGTTTCAGCTTTTCATCTTTTAAACCTGCTCCATGCAGTCTGGCTCCATTTTGAAGATTTTAGGGTAAATTAGAGTATTCTGGGATAATGAAGTGCCCCACTATGATCTATAAAATAAAAGTTTATTTATTAAACATATGGAACATTTGTGAATTAAAAACAAACTCTGATTGGTGGCACTGAGTGTCAATGTAATCTGTAAATTTATTATTATTACTTATATTTTTTTATAATGTTTCCTGAGGTGGACGTATAATATTAATATGATTTTTTTAAATGTATTTATATTTTTATTTATTTTTACAACATAACGGTCATAATGCAAGTCAAGTCACCTTTATTTGTATAGCGCTTTATACAATACTGGTTGTGTCAAAGCAGCTTTACAGTGTCAAGCAGGAAGATAGTTTGTCAATGATGCAAGATGACAATAACAGAGTCATTTTCCAGCTAAAGTCAGATCATTGATGATTCAGTGATTTCATCATCCAGTTCAGCTCTCTTCCAATAGTGTCTGTGCAATCAGTCAAGCGTCTCCAACTAAGCAAGCCAAAGGCGACAGTGGCAAGGAACCAAAACTCCATCGGTGACAGAAATGGAGAAAAAACCTTTTGAGAAACCAGGCTCAGTCGGGGGCCGGTTCTCCTCTGGCCAGATTATTATTTTTCAATTTATGTATGATTAGGCATTAGAATTAAAACAGTTACCTATATGTTGTGGCATTACAGTCAGATCTATACATTTGTGAAAAAAAAGTCTATTTGCAAAATCTGTGGATGGGCCAAAGAAGCATTAATTAAGTAGTTGGCATGGATCTGTGTCTGTGCAGGGAGTCTTGTGCTGATGTATTAATCTCTATTGTGTAATAAAAAGGAGGAAGTACAAAATAAGTTGTTTTGCCAGCTTGGTTTCAATTAAAGCCATTTTTGGACTAATGAGGAAGGTTTGAGTTCTGAATCTTACAGTATATTTTTTTTGTAGCAAAATTAATTATTATATGTCAAAAGATAAGGGAAAAATTAATTTCTCAATTCACAATATGTTACACCCCTCCGGATGGCATAAGAGTCAGAGGCACTCGGCGCTGTATGAGCACGTTACCTTTTGAAGATTAAAGCGATGACAAAGTCAGGGTTGACTTTTAGCCGCCAGTCACACTCTTTTCCTGGTGGGTAGGGTTGGGGATAGTTGGGTGATAGAATTACCCCAGCAGGCCCTGTCACGTTGCCCCCGCAGGTAGCTGTCATAACAAGGAGAGTGAGGATGAGAGATTATTTAATGTGATCCTTCAGCACAGCAAAAATAAACAATGTTACAGCTGCCTGATTACAGGATGATTCCTCTGAGCTCATTATCAGTTAATATAGCAGGACAACTAACATTAAATGATAATAATCAATACATGAAACTAAGATGAATTGTGAAGGAGATCAGGCAGGACTTTATTACCCAACCATCTAATAGAATTGTAGATGTGATCTGACTACATTGATTGAAGAAAAAAAAAATCTTGATGAGTAGCACTGTTATAATAGGACCTGCCAATTTTTGGAACATCTAAAACAAATTTTCAATAAAAAAATAGTCTAATCCATGAACAAGCTCTGAGATCACAACATTAAAAATTTGGTACGGAGCAAATACTGCTATAAAAACTCTGTACTTAATGCATTTGATGACAGAATGAACTACACCCCATGAAGCATTTCAAAAGACTGAAATAATGTCAATACACTATAAAACTACTGACCAAGTTATTGCCCAATGTATAAAATTAGACAGATTACATATTTATGACAAAATAGTAAAATATATACAAATATGAAAATTGTGTGAGAGTACAGAGAGGTTGTGGGCAGAGTCAGATTGCCATGATTCCTTTCTCCTTGGAAACAGTCAGTTTTCTGATTGGTGGGTTCTGGGTAATGTTCAGCAATTCAACTTTTTTTTTTTTTTTTATTATTAATGAAGGTACAAAAGTATATCATCCCTGAAGAACTTTTGAGCTCATGCTAGGTCTGCCTTGAACGGTTTCAATATTATCATTACAATTTCTCTATGGATAGGATGAATGGGATTTTTGCTTCCTGAACCCGAGAGGACCTTGTAGAATTTCATGGCAACTGACAAAGCATGACATCAAAAAAAGTCAATAGGGACACTGGAGAAAAAAGCTATTCTTTAACATCCTTAGAAGGTGCAGAGCATACAGCCTGACTGAAAAAAAAAGAGAGAACATAAGCAGAAAATACTGGAGGTCTGAGAGAAGGTCATGGTAATAATATAAAAGCAACTTTGTAATGTAGTGGGCGAGACAGCTCTGCTTTTCCCTATAACGCTGAGCTAATATGCATCTCTCTTAAATCTCTAGAAGACCACTTAATACAGACATGAATGCTAAGAAGAGTAATACTGATTGGTAGTGGACAACAAAAAAGTACTGTGGTGGTACAATGGTACAGTGATGGTTTTAGATGTTAATATACATTGCCTTTGCGAAAGTATTCAGCTCTCTCATGGAGACATGTTTGTTGGACAGCCATTTTCAAGGTTCTCAAGAGGTGTTTGATTGGGTCCGTGCTCTGGCTGAGCCTCTCAAGGACATTCACAGCGTCGTACCTAAGCTACCCTTGTGTTGTCTTGGCTGTGTGCTTAGAGTCATTGTACAATTGGAAGCTAAACCTCCGGTCTGAGGTCCAGAGGGTTCCGGACCAGGTTTTCATTAAGGACATTTCTGTACTTTGCTGTGTTCAGCTTTCCTTTTACCACGGACATTCCCAATGCTTCTGAAAAACTCCTCTGTAGCACGATGGAGTGCAGTCACCACCATGCTTCACCATTGAGATGGTACTTGTGCAGGTGATTAGCAATGCCTGGTTTTCTCCAGACATGTCACTTCAGACCAGAGAATATTTTTCTCATAACTGAAAGTCCTTTAGGTGCTTTTGCAAATTTCAAGCAGGTTTTCATGTGTCATGTCCTAAGGAGAGGCCACTTAGACATTATGGGCCCTACCATACACCCGGCGCAATGCGGCACCAGGCGTGACGCAAGTGTTTTTTGCTAGTTTCAGCCAGACACAGTTATCATTTTCACGTTCTGTGCCACGTTGTTTAAATACAAATGCATTTGCAGCCATTTGTGTGCCCATGGGTGTGCTGGTCTGAAAATTAGGTGTGTTCGCCAACCGTTTTTCCCATCGTTAAACTAGCAAAAGTGGATTCGGACACGCCGTGCTCTTTAAACCATGCGCTTAGATCGTTAAAATATGGCCCTATATGGCTTAGTTTTGATCGAATATGCATTAGACCTGTTCTACCTTAATACATCTTAGAACTTATATAGACAGGTGTGTGCTTTTCCAAAACATGTCCAGTCAACTGAATTTGCAGTAGATGGACTCCAATCAAACTGCAAAAGCATCCCAGAGAAACTGGAGTGTTCCTCAGATCACGGATACTTATGCAAAGTCATTATTTGAGTTTTTATTTTTTAATACTTTGCAAAGTTATTACAAATCTGTTTTTTGTTTGTTTGCTTCTGTAAATAATATACTGCATTCATTCTAATTTAATGTACTGCTTTGACAGCTGTAATTTATATTAATTCTTCACTTTTAAAATAAAGGAATGCATTTAACAGCATATCGGTTTTTCTTTACTAGAAGGAGCTTTCCAGTAAGGAAACTAAAAAGCACAGAGTCAAGTCGGATCTTACCAATGCAGGTGGGTGGGTCCGGCTGCCAGAAAAATCGGCTGTTGAGCTGAACGCAAGTGATTTCAGACACTCCTTGAATCTGGTACCCAGGGTCACACTGAAAGGTAATGGTGTCGCCAGGCTCCCTGCTGTCTCCGTAGCGTGTCCCATTTTGAGGGGTCCCTGGGTCGTTGCAGGTCGTGGCAACTGTAGCTGAAATAAAAAGATAAATTTTGAATCAGCTGTGGATCAGTGAGAGAGCGGAAAATCTCTTATTCATGAGAGAATGGACCTCTGCTCTTGACTAAATATGCCAAGACGCACAGCAGCTCACATATGTGATGGTGTTAAACTCATGTTTATGGAGATTTCCATTTAATTCTACTTCATCAATCATATCATATCATCGTCAAATTAAAAATGCAATGGTTTCTGCTTTAACAAACATATGCTCCATAACCACTTAAAAATACATAAATAGTGTATAATAAGGAAATTAACAAGAGAAAAAGGCTTTGTTAGAACAATAGCTCACTACTTACTGCATACTGCACAGCATACACTATACTATAGACCATACTGCCTGCTATTGCATTTATTATATGACAGACTTAACATATTGGATATACAATTATTTTGTATTTTGAATTTAAAAACTGATTTTTGGCATTCCAGTCAAAAAATGAGCCAAGAGAGAAATGGTATGCTGATACAACATTACTTACAGGCTTTTAATGCTGGAAATAAAAAGACAAGGTGGAATGGAGTATCCCATGCATCACGCTAGGCCAGGGGTAGGCAAGTTCGGTCCTAGAGAGCCAGAGTTCAGCTCCAACCCTAATCAAGCACACCTGAACAAGCTAATCAATGTCTTCAGGATTACTAAGGCTATAGGCAGGTGAGCTTTTTTTTCAGGGTTGGAGCTGAACTCTGCAGGACTGCGGCTCTCTCGGACCGAACTTGCCTACCCCTGCACTAGGCTGTATACTGCTCATTCCAGTTACCATGCATATTGAAAAGTTGCATACAGTGTAAAGTATGCATACTGCAAAGATAGAGCAATATGTTAATATAAGCTAGAATAAGCTATTCTCAACACAGTCAAGGAGAAGCTGATACATACTAGAGAACTGGATGGAGAAACCAGACTTGCTAATGAAGTAATCACTGTCAAACTGAAGCGTGAGGATGTTGAAGGTGCTGTGAGTGTCCTCGGGTAAAAGCGATCCACTCCACTCTTTCAGCAGAATGCCACTCTCCGCTGGTCCATCCCAGACCTTCAGAATGTCATGGTCCACTTCCGTGTCAAAGACTATGAAGTGAAGGCTGGGAAGGTCAAAAATAGCGAGAATATTACATTTAGTTTTATTTTCTTTCAAAGACATTCAAAAACATTAATAATAATAAGCATCAATAATAATAATAAGCACAAAGCACTTGCAAATTAAAATATAATTCATTTCAATTATTTGATAAAATCTGAATTCCAGACTTTGCAAAGATATGTTCTAAAAATGTATTCATAATTCATAATTAAAGCTAAAGTAAACTGTGTAACTTATGGCCCTTTGGCATTTTAAAAAAAGAACTGCATGCATCTTGCAGAAGAATATTGTTTTCTCTGTGCTTCGGTTACGCTCCTCGAATGTGGTTTGAGGCACAGTTACAGGATATCTTATTAGAGTGGATAGACAATTAAATAACTGTTTGTTGTTGTTGCTGCTGTTATTGTTGTTTTTACAACTGGTGATTCCCAGGAGGTTTGCCATTTTGAATGATCATCATCATCATCATCAATTTTTCTCGTTTGTTACGCCAAATAAACTTTTAGCTTCACGCTACCCACAGCTGGAGCTATATTTCCCTGTGTACGGACATGACGGAACACTCAACTTCCTGTGAAATGAATTCCAGTTCTAAAATATGATTTATTATAGGTTTATTAAAGTGTTTCTGGATAAAGTTTCTGGCTTATAATCTTAAAAAAGTGGCTTTGTTTCACAAAAAAAGCAGGTTTGAGTTCAGAATGTTACAAAATACAATGTTTTATATATATAAAAAAAGATCAATTTGATTCCTCAAAATATGACTTTATTAATATGTCTGGATTATCTTTGACAATAATATAATAATCACTTAATTCATTCAAAATATATTTTCCACAGCACTGAACTGATCAAAACAAAAGGCCTTCAGAATAGATTTTTTTCCTATACTGCGCCACTGGGATTTATATTATTTGCACTCAACAGGGCTGTAGTCTGACCTCCTTGAGTCGAGCACAGCTCTGCAGCTTGCATGTAAACACAGCACTGATCAACTTAAGTCACAACAGTGACTGTCTCTGTGGGATGTGTGGGTGGACAACCATGAGTTCTGCTCTCCACAAACACAGTGTTATTCATTCAAATAACTCCACAACGCTCATAAGTGACATTTCATTCACCAGCAGGGTCCTTTTTGCCAGCAATAGAATTGTATTATGAACCTATGTAATGTTATGGCAATAACTTGTATTGCATAAAAATGAAAAAAAAAACATATTATGAATAATTTTAAATTACACATTATTTATTAATAAATTGTTTTAAATATTTATATTGTTTATATAAAATTAGTTCACAAATTTAAGTTAAATGTTACCATTAAAAATAAAAAGACGGGGGGAAAAACGACATTTTCCTTTAACATACGAAAATAAATCTGAAGGTGGGTAAAACATCAGTCTGTGCTCTCAGTGCAGTCTTTTGAAAATTACGAACAACCATGTCATCATACTAATGCAACACCCTCGCAACTGTACAGAATTATGCAAACATGCTTTCACCTAATACATCTCGAGCCTAGACGATGTTAAAAAAAAAAACATACAGAGAGAACTTGCACAGTAACAGTGGAGCCGTTACTGTGCAAATTTATGCGATGGAGTGAAGTCACAGTGCGGTTTCTTTCACCTGGGAGCGAGAGATGGAGTGGAGTTGTAGCGGAGTGATTACAGACGCTTTGAGTGTGGAGGGGAAATTGCTGTTGCTCCACTCCACTCACATACTCTGCTCGCCAAAGTCAATTTTTACTGGCATTCGGTGCTTGACGAGCATTCATTCTGGACCCTGTATGTATAGAAATAGTTTAAACACCTGCATGGATTATATCCCACTCTTACAACTTCTCCTTTTATCTGCTCTTTATAAGCCATTTTCTCCTTAAACGGATCAACCGAATTAGCTTACCTGAGTTTTGCTCCATTTTTGAAGGCTTAACTGGCTTATCGCTTTTTGTGTCTCTATTCTTTTTGCCCTTTCACTAACCCTCCCCCTCTGTGCAACGGTAATGCACTTGTAGGAACAGATGCCAGTCAGTGGTAGGCAGCGCAGCAGGGTGAAATGCAATCACCATGCTCCTTTATGGTTGTATGGGAATTATATGGAAATTAAAGGAGGGGTGGTAAAAGCATAACATGGTTTCAAGCACTAGTTTTCATACCTGATGGTTTTGCCTGTGTCCGCCTCAATGGACCAGGTGCAGTGAAGGTTGTTGTCATAGGGGGCCGGGTAACCAGGAGACAGAATCTGTCCAGATGTGGCGCCGCTAATGTGTCCTCCGCACTCGGCTACACACACACACACACACACACACACACACACACACAAAACAAATTAAGGCCTTTAACTAGATTTGCATTTCCAGAAAGAAATAATAGTGTGTACAATGCAACAAAACAATAAATCAATTTTCAGTTTACTACAACATACACTAATATGTGACACAAATTACTATTCAGTATGCATGGAAGAATCCCAATCGGAAGTCTGTATGCAAATATAAGATTACATCATAGCTGAAGGTTGTATCTTGAATACAAACCATTAAGCAGAGTAAGCAACAGGAGATTTTTAAACTTTACCATTAAGTATAATCCAAATATGAACATTTCAATGAAGCTGCATTGAAATTAAATTATAGTACACTATGGGTATTTTTAGCCATTGTGTATGCTATGTAGCAAGCAGAGAAAATAGAAAATTGGTTTATTATGTTGACTAATTCAAATAAATGCATATTGTACAAAGTTGGCGTAAGGCAGTATTCTCCATTTTCCACACCAAACTACATCTTGCTCAAGAAGTTTTAATTAAGGAATGAGTACAGCACGGTAAAGACCGTAATGCGTCCATCCTAAAATACTCTCTGTGTAAGTATACTGCGCTGGGCCTACAGAGTAATAATTTACCTCATGCTAACCACAGTGAGAGAGCTTCTCTCCATCCCCCTCAAGCACTTTATTTGCTCCTGGGTCTCACATGCAATTACTAAAGTTGAGTCTCGTAAGGACATTCTCGTCATCAGAATTACAGTATGAAGACACTCTTGCATTCGGTTCATGCTCAGTATACAACCCTTTTTTTAATTTAAATATCAAAATAATTATTTAAGGTCATGTGGTGCTGTTTTGTCTGGCATGCAAAGTATTGTGCTTTGGTGTTTTGATAACTTTGCTTAGGCATGAACTACTACAGTAACTACTATACTATTCTCTACAACTTTCCTGATCTGATGACATGATCTTTCCGTCACACAATCAATTTCTTTGGTGGTACCATGGTACAGTGATGGTATCAGATGATAATAGCTGAGTACTTGATATACAGGTCCTCAATTCACGTATCAAGGTATTTACATGATACTTCAAGGTCAAATATTTGGACAGTCACTGTACAAATTCATTATTATTAATACTATTGTTTTTGAGCTTCTTCATGTTATAGATTCTAGCTCTGCTCCCTCTAGACATTCACTTAATCAACTTTATGGGCTGCATTTTGGGATGCTTTTTAACAGTATTGAAGGAATTCACATGTATGCTGTCACGCCCCTGGACTGTTTGTTATGCTCTGTGACCCAGTTTCTTCCCCACGTGTTCCGCTTCCCAGTTAATTAGTCATTCAGTACACCTGTATATTTGTTAATTATCCCTTGCATTTAAGTTCGAGCTGTCTGTCCTTGTCCGAGATTAAACGTCTACCCATGTGTTTCCTTTGCTCCTGTCTGCCCCGTGTATACCCTTGGATGTTTGGATTAAACCTATTGTTTTCGTGTACTCCTGGTCTCCTCGTTCCTCGCCATAGGCTAAGTGTGACATATGCTAGATACTTGTTGACTACTATTTCATCACTATCTGTTCCAACTCATCCATGTTCTGTATATAAATGCATAGCACAATGTATAGTTGTATAAATATACAGCCTTTACATAAAAGTTCAATAGAGATTTTGCTATTGTTTATAATGCAATATGTTCATTAATTCACATTTAATTCATAGTTTATATGTATATATATATTGAGAGAGAGAGAGAGAGAGAGAGTGCTGTCAAACGATTAATTGTGATAAATTGCATACAAAATAAAAGTTTTTATATTTTATATATGAAAATATTTACATGTATTTACATGTCTATATTTATATTCATATAATTTATATTATAAATAAATATATTTAATATATAAACAACATATTTTTCTGAAATATATACAGTACATGCATGTGTGTGTATTTATATATACATAATAAATATTCCCAGTACACATACATATTATGTAAACAAAAACTTTTTATTTTGGATAAGATTAATCACGATTAATCGTTTGACAGCACATATATATATATATATATACAGTGGGGCAAAAAAGTATTTAGCCACTGTACATACATATATACACACATATATATATATACTGTATATTTTTTTGTGTATGATATTATCTTGATTTTGCTCTTATTGCCCACCCATAACATAGTACATTATCATAAGTACATTAAAATATTGTGTAGATTTAAATTTTTACTTGTGTTACTTAAAAAAAAAAAAAAAAAAAAAATTTCCAACTTCGACTGCAGTGTTTATGTCTAAAGTCATCAGTTTATCCCCCAGAGAGTCAATGGGAATTTTGTGTCTTACCAGGTTCACCAGAAGGCACAAGCAATAGCTTTCTGGTTAAGATAAAGCAAAAGGAGTCACGTGATGCGGTCGAGGTGGATGGCAACATAGTTTAGCACCGCCTGTAGTGGCACAGTTTTTTTAGCCTTACTTATAATCTTAAATGGCTACCTTGACAACTTTTATTTTCTAAGAAGTAGAGAAGAGTCTCAAGCTACAGAAATATGGCTTGCAAGCAGAAAATAGTGCACTCGAGCATAAATAAAGGCCCTGAGAAGCGGCGATGCAACATCAAATGCCACTGGAGATGACAGTGCAGCAGTTTCTCCAATTGACACTGACAAACCCCCCGCGAACAAGGGGAATGCAGCCGAGGACATTGCGAGCATCTTTAACATTTTAAAATAAATGTCAGAGGAAATGAAAAGTTTGAAAGAGATTCACAAGGTTACCACGTCTATGGAAGGGAAACTGTCAGTGTCAGCGCTAAAGGAAAGAATTAGTGATGTACAATCTTCTACATGACTTCTCTAAATAAGAATGTGTAATTTCTGCATTTAGATTTAAGTTGTCAGTTATCTGTAGCAATCCAGTGCTGCAAACAGTGACAGCTATGTACCATATTCAACGAGCAGTCATGTCCAACTAATTCATTTCCGCATTACTTAGTATGATAAATAATTTTGGATACAAAGTCAATTGGTCCAAGGCTCTACCCCAGACTGCTTACTGTCCACAATCATTGTTTCAGACCTGTGCACTTAAACGGCCTGACAAGGGCATTGTATATTTAGGAATTACATTTCCGCAGCGGTTTAAGGATATTGTTAAAGTCAATCTTGGCCCCCTATTAGGAAAAAAATTTCAGCTGACCCAGCAAGATGGGCGCCCCTTTTTCTTTCCCTTTGGGACAAAGTCAATGCTGTCCATTGCCTGTCCATTCAGGATGTTTCAGTATATTTGATAAAATATGCAAACAGTTTTTGTGGAATGGGAAGAAACCTCAAATTACCTCCAGAGCGAGCTCCCCATGGCTAGCCATGGAAAAATCTGCTTATCTGCTTATACCATTTGAGTTAACATAACATAACATAACAAAACAAAACAACCAGTGCATAATCATCTAATTATTTCCCATCTCCAAACAGTTTGGAAGAAGACCTCTTGTATTCTAGTGATTGACCCTTTTCTAAGCCCTTCATCTGCTATATGGGCCAATCCAAAGCTGTTAATAGGTGGAACACCTGTGTTATGGAAGGAATGGATAGATAAAAATAAAACTATTCTGCAGGATCTTTATGAAGATGACGAAGATGACGCTTTAATATATTTCGAGAGACTGAAGCAAAAATCCATCTTGACTAATGATCAGTTCTGGAGATATCTGCAGATGAGACATATGCTCACAAGTATCTTTGCCTCCCCGTCATATGCTCCCAGAGGTAAAAACACTCTCAAGATGATCTGGAATATTATGGGCACTGGCCATGAGACATCTAAATACTTATTAGTCAGATGGGCCAAAATATTAGTTCTGCGGTTAAAATAATCTGGGGGAAATATTTGGGATGCACATTTGAAAATGAAGAATGGGTGAAGATCATTGGAAATTTAAATTATGATATTAGAAGATATTAGACATGTCTCATACAATTTAAAATGTTACACAGATTTTACTGGACACACAGAAGGTTGTTTAGAGTGGGTTTTAAGGATAATCCTGATTATCCAAGGAAACCTAGTTCATGTCTTATGGCGATGCTCAGAAGTCTGGTATTTTTGGAGAGAGGTACATGATTATATTTTAAAGATATCGCAGACCCAGTATGATCTACTAGTTTGTACATACTTGGTGACCCTCAACCTTTAAGTCATGTTACAAAAACAAAACAAATCACAGTGGATACAGAGCTGCATCATGCTGGGCAGACGTGTGATCGTAAAAAACTGGAAATCTTCTCTAAGGCATCCGATTTTTGAATGGCTTTCGGATTTAGGGTGAGTGGCAGCCCTCAAAACTCAAAATCTATCATTTCGGATTGATTTTTATTTTGATAAATGGGGGAACATTTTTAATTTCAATAATCCACAGCAGTAGCAAGCATGTGACGAGACAAACAATGGTTATGGTGAATATGCTTTAGCTTATAGTGGAAACTTTTAGTGGTGTTTTTTTCCCCCCTTGTTATTTATACTATTTTATTTACTTATTGACTTATTTATATTGTTACCATTTATTGACTAACTGTTTTGTTTTGTGTATGTTTTGCGAGTTGCTTATATGTCAAGTACATGATTGTTTAAATCACTTTTGTCTCTAAATAAGAAAATCAATAAAGTACCAATCATAAAAAGATAAAGCAAAAGAAAGCTCTGAGGGTCCGTATACTCTACATACTGAAATACTAAATATAATATCAGCTTTGGGAAACATGATCAAACTTCATAACTTTTCTTCTGTGATGGTACATTTGCCTTGAGAACTGCAACATGAGAATAGATAATGGACTTCCCTTTGCTGATCTCTCTTGGATTACAATGTGTTACATGAGTTGGAGATGGCAGAGGAGCAGTTCTACAGCTGAACTTTATTATCAAAATTTGCTGAACCAAAAAATTAAAAAGAAACAAATCCAAGCCAAATATATGGTATAGGGTACAACAGAACTAAATGTCCCTTGGGCTAAACTGCCTAACACCAGATAGAAAGAAACACTGCCAAACACCTGTTTATCCCTAAACACTGTAAGTTTCCTGATCCATTAGATCATTGCATGCATTGGCAAAAGGTTCATTTTAAGGTGATTTGACAATCATTTTATATAAAATGGATTGTGCATTATATTTTATTATCATTTTATTTCCAAAACTGTCTTCAATTTCATTAATAAAGTTTAATTCTAAATTTCATAACACTTTTATCAGAATATATTTTAATGTAATGTAATAAAGGTTTGTTTTGCTGCTCATCCTTTCCAGTACACTGATTTTTTTTTTCACCTGTTTTTCACTGAAGATTTGGAAGTGATGACAAATGTTGACAACCAATTAAGAGACTCTTTGACAGGTTTCCGTGAGGGATAGGAACTCGAGCCTTTCCCTGACAAACATTTAATAGCAATGGGAAAACATTTACTTGAAAGATCAAATGTGACCCTGTCTGTGAAATCCAGGCTAAAGTCTCAACATCTAATTATGAGATAACAAGCATCAAGTTTGATTTCAACCATTAATTTCACTATAATTTCACTATAATTTCAATCGTTGACATGACCCTACTCAGTCAATATTAAAGATATCATGGTTAAATTTTCACAGAATGTTCTTTGCATTATGAAGAATGATTGTATGTAGTAAATCACAAAAAAAAAAGATTTTGTTGTGAACTCACCCATACAAGATGGAAGTGGTTTGTCCCAAACCCTACGGTCTCCACTGAGGCACGTTAACGTGCTGCTTCCATGTAGTGTGTATCCAGGATTGCAACTGTACAAAACATATGTATCTGCAAAATGCCCATCGTCTTGGATTTTGTAGCCATAATTAGGTGTCCCCGGCTCCTCACATTTGACAAGGTCAAAACCTGTAAAGAGGCAGGATCAAGATAAGCCAATTTGAATGGTAAAAAAGACATCTGGCCACCTGAAATCAACCCCCTGGCAGGCTGGATCAGCCTCTTTCTTGATAATGGCATAAAGGTGGTGCAATAAAAGGTACACCTGCTCACAACAATTACCTATGCAGCCCCCAGGAGACCACCTCAAATTAATACCAGCACAGCATATGCTCAACTCAAAGATCACCCTTTCAAACATGCTGTCTGTTCTTTCTGTATGTGATTGGTTAAAGCACATTTCCAATGCAGAGACATTTCAAGGTAAAGCTTTTTCCAAAAATATGTCTGAAAACAATAAACCCCGCTGAGCTGCTCTTTAAAGCATTTACTATTCTCCTTGTTTTGGCTGGGAAGATGGTGGTAGTCTTAATGAGGAAATAATGAAGAGTGGATAATGAGGATATTATTAGACTGTCTCTGACCAGCAATTAAAACTGTAATATCTTCTTGCACATGCTGTGTCTTTACGGTCTTTGTTTCTACGCATTCTTTCTTGTAATTAGAGCAGTAGTATTTGATTTTTTATGAAGCACAATTATTAAAACAAACAAACAATATATATATTGATAAAAAAATAATTTTGTCAAAACTGTCAGCAGTCAGGCGTCAAATTACAGTGTCTCACAGTGGAAACAATTCAATAGATTGAGCTGAAAATCAGTTTGAGACCATCCTGAAACCACCATTCATTTTTAATCAAAGTGAATGCTAGATTTGTCAGTGTTTACAGTAAATATGATCTAAGTGTCAGTATATTGATTGTGATTTTATATTGAGTGATGCAAGAAGCAAGAGATTTCACCCAAACACAGGTTAATACTATTAGACATGCTTATTAGATTAATTTAAAATAATTACTTTATACATAAAGCTTTATTTGTTCACTTCTGTAGCCGTTTCTAAAGAATCAGTGTGTGATTGTGGGATGGAGCCTTTATTGGAATGTCGTTCAACTTACTGCTGTACGACAGCTTGAATCCTTTGCTGGTACCGGTACCATTGCTGTTAAACTCCATCCAAAGATGGTTGGACGTGCTGTTGAGGATGACATCAGACATGTCGTTTTTTGTAAAATTGCCGAGGAGTCTTGATGAACTATCTTGACCATCATAAACCTATGAAAACCAAAGACCAAAAGAAACAGGAATGTTTACTTAACTTGTTTTGTCAGCAGTCAATCTCAGAATTGCTTATTCTGATAAGATTTCCTCGGTAAATAAATAAATAACATAAAATAAAAAAATAAATAAAAAAAGTTTTTTCTCAAAATATTGTCTTTTGGTGTCTGGATTATGTAATTTATTTTCAAAATTGCATATATTTTGAAACAATAACCTCTGCAAAGAGAGGGTGGAAAACACTACGGCACAGGGAAAAAAATATTAAAGGTCATATATCAATGTCAAGCAGCAGTTTTCCACTTTTCTGTTACGGAAGACACAGTTTCAAGCTTTAATGGAAAATAGCATGTGACTCCAGGTTGCATGTGCAGAATGGGCCACTGGTCTAAGAACAGACTTATTGTTTCTGCTGATTGTCTACAATGGTGCAAACTGATAAAACTGCCTCAGAAATCAGCTGAAATGAACTAAAACGGCCAATCAATAACATCAGTAACCAGGGAATAGCAGTTTCCTTATAAATCTGGCAAACCTTGCTAGATATACAAGTCTAAGACCTTATTTGCTGACAGATTAAATTCAAATAGCCCTTAATGCTGACAGACAATATTTTAATGATTCATTGCAACAGAATCACTATAACTGTGACAAAATGTATGTGTTTGGAATTGCTAAAGCACCTCATACTTATCCATCATTTGTGACTTAATTAGTGGCCTTATTGGTCTAAAGGGACCATCTTTCTTCTGTGATGGTACATGTGCCTTGAGCACTGTAACGTAAATTAATCTATGAATAGTTAATGGTGTCTCCAAGTCCCATTTGCTGGTCTCTCATGGATTACAAACTGTTACATGTTAACAGTATTGCAGAAGTGTTGCAATCACCAAACTTCATCAAAGTTCTCGAAACTCTATTTTGTGTTTGCAATTTCACAAGTTACCACATTAACATAGAATTCAACTGATGTGGCCTTTAGAGTCTGAACTATCCATTTTATAACATTAGTTTTACTGTTTAATTACAGTTTAATTAGTTGGACAAATGAATGAACAAATGAATACATAAATGTATTTTATTTCACTGTTTGATCCATTATGCATATTCACACAATTACACAATTATTTATTATGTTAAATATATATATATATATACAGTGGGTACGGAAAGTATTCAGACCCCCTTACATTTTTCACTCTTTGTTAAATTGCAGCCATTTGCTAAAATCATTTAAGTTAATTTTTTTTCCTCATTAATGTACACACAGCACCAAGAGTGAAAAATTTAAGGGGGTCTGAATACTTTCCGTACCCACTGTATATATATATATATATTATATATAAGGTCATTCTTACCTTGAGGAAATCTCCCTCGTGAAGCTGGAACGTGGTGGCTGTGATTTGAATCCCCTTGCCTCTGTCGGTCTCAATGCGGTAGATGCACTCGTGGTTGTTGTCGTAATTTGCCGGGTAATTGGGGGACAGTAGGACACCCTGACTGGCCACAGAAGTGGCTCCACACTCAGCTAGGCAAACCCAGGATGTATGGATGGGAAAGATAGAAGAAAATTATCACATATTGAGGGCAGAAAGCGCAGACTTATCAAAGCTCCACATGGCTGTGAAAAACAAGGGGTTGGTAACAAATAAGTTGGGTTCCCTTGAAGCCTGTAGTGCCTTGACAGCTGCTACTCCATTTCCTACTGACAGGCCAATTTTAGGCCAAGGTTTTGTACCGTCTGGAATTTGAGTCTTTTGTCATTTTGATGAATCACTGCGAGAACAACTTCAGAGGAATACTAATTAATAGAGGTCTTTATGCATTAGCTAGTTGCTGGTCACAACAGCTCACTGCTGTGTTAGGATCAGACATCCTTCAGTTTAATATTCTGCACCAGCAACTCTCTAAGTATATAAGCAGATGTTGCTTCAAGACCTTGAGCTCAGCAACTTAAAGTAAAACTCTCCAACAATGGCCTCCTGATATCCAGACTTTTTAAAAAGGTATCAGTTCCTTAGAGACCAACTACTCAAAGAAATTAATCTAAAGTGATAGTGGATTTTTATCTATCTGTCTGTCTGTCCGTCCGTCCGTCCGTCTGTCCATCTATCATCTGTCTGTCTGTCTGTCTGTTTATCTATCTATCTATCTATCTATCTATCTATCTATCTATCTATCTATCTATCTATCTATCTATCTGTCTGTCTGTCTGTCTGTCTGTCTGTCTGTCTGTCTGTCTGTCTGTCTGTCTGTCTGTCTGTCTGTCTGTCTGTCTTATACAGTTTACAGCAGCATTCCCATTTTCAGTCAAACTCAGGAGCTTTTGTGATTCTTTTTTCTTTCTTTAAATAATAACAGGGTTGTTCTATCTATCTATCCATCTGTTTACCGTTGTATATGTCCGTCCGTCCGTCCATCCATCCATCATCATTCTATCCTTCCATTCATCAGTCCCATCCATCCATTGTTCTATCTATCATTCTATCTTTCGTTATATCGATCTCTTTCCGTGTCTGTTTCTGTGTCCATCCATCCACCATCCATCCTTCCGTCCGTCCATCTGTCTGTCTGTCTGTCTGTCTATCTATCTATCTATCTATCTATCTATCTATCTATCTATCTATCTATCTATCTATCTATCTATCTACAGTATACATACATACATACATATATGCAATGAATTCAATATTATTGCAATAAATCAATCAGTATTCCTTTTTTTTTTTTTTTCTAAACCACTGAAATCAAATATCTCAGGCATCTAGATCTCACCCTCACCCATTTTAGTTATCTAGCACCCTTATTGATTGGGCTTTCAAAAAACTAGAGATAATTTTTTCAATGAGAATTTCCCCATCAACCCTTTATCAATTTTATGTAGCTAATATAATCCAAACCTCTTGAGGCTAATGTTTGTTGTGCTCACCAGACCAATTAAAGACACACTCACATGCTCTTATTACACTGCAGCGATTAACCACTATTAAAACCCAGTCCGACAGAAAGACTGCACAATTACAACCAATTATTTTTTCAGTGTTTTTAACGTTGTCCACAAATATCCATGACCTTAACCACTTAACCACCACAACAGATAAATTACAGCAATCTGCAGTCTGATCAATTTTAATTCATCTTCTGTATTATGCCAAGATCTCTGAAAGTTTTTCCACCTTACAATTCGAGCATTTACTGTGTCAAGTTCTATTATAAATAAATCATTAATAAGACGGGGGAATAGTCTGAGCATTTAAATAATGAATTTGAGGCATTGTAAAATGGACTCAGTTCAGGATGAAAGGAAAAGACCAGGTTTCTAATAATATGCACTGGTTAAAATTTCACTCTGGTTCTCCCTTCCTTATATGGGACATTTTATGGCCAAACTAGCCTGAGCTTTATTAACTCTTTCCCCGCCATTGACAGACTTTTACGTCTTTCCGTGTTTTCACTGGTATACGGTAGGATGCACTATTATGCATCTTCTGAAAGAGTATTGAATGTCTGGATCAAAACATGGTGAAGAAGAAGCAGAAACAAGCGATCACGTTTGTAAGGAGATGCATATGTAAAATAACGCAATCATCATTAAACAGCATATAAATCAAAACTGCCAAACGTTACCAAACAAATACCATCAATTCTCTGAAACAAATTCTCTGAAATGCCTTTGGAGACGGCTTATGGTAGAGAAATGAACATTCAATTCACAGGCAACAGCTCTGGTGGACATTCCTGCAGTGAGCATGCCAATTGCACGCTCCCTCAAAACTTGCGACATCTGTGGCATTGTTCTGTGTGATAAAACTGCACATTTTAGAGTGGCCTTTTATTGTGGCCAGCCTAAGGCACACCTGGGCAATAATCATGCTGTCTAATCAGCATCTTGTTATGCCACACCTGTGAGGTGGATGGATTGTCTCAGCAAAGGAGAAGTGCTCATTAACACAGATTTAGACAGATTTGTGAACAATATTTGAAAAATATTAGAAATAGGCCTTTTGTGTACATAGAAAAAGTCTTAGATCTTTGAGTTCAGCTCATGAAAAATGGGGGAATTTATTTGATTAAAATGAGTGTAAAAACAACAATAAACATAAGCAATGGATTATTATTGCAATTTAAAATAACTATTTTCTATAGAGTGGTGCTGGTATGACATCAGAACCCAGAAGACTAATTTGCCGCTCGTTCCTTAGACATTTTCCAATAGAGTTTTATAAATGTTTTTTTTTTTTCAATTTAAAGCCTGTGGTAAACATAACTGGATGATTCTTGGATGTTTTGTTCTACAACATAAACTGCACACGCTGATATCCCAAGCTGTCTCATCTAATTACTTATTAGAAACATACATTTTCAAAAATAAACATAACTAATCAAAATTTGCAAATTACACACTCCCATATCAAGCACGCATTGTAGAACAAAACATCAAAGTATCATCAAGTTATGTTTGCCACAGGCTTTATTTCACTCATAAATCAAAAAACCCCATTATAAAACACCATAGGAAAATCTCTTAAGGAGCCAGTGGCCAATTATTCTTCCGGGTTCTGAAATCATACCAGCACCACTCTGTTTGAATATATATTTCAAATATAATGTATTCCCGTGATGCTAAAGCTGAATTTTCAGCAGCCATTACTCCAGTCTTCAGTGTCATTACGTGTGAAATGAAGAGCTCAAGAACTATTTCATATTATTATTTTGTTATAACAGTGATTAATTTGAGTCTTTGATTAATAGAAGGTTAAAAAAATATTTTCAATATAAATATTTTGTAGCATTATAAAAGTTTTACTGTCACATGATCAATTTAATGTATCTTACTAAATAAAAGTATTGATTTCTAATCTTACTGACCCTAAACTGGTACTGTATGTCATTTAATGGGTATCTGATATTTTATAACATAGATATAGATTATAAAATATTATTTAAAAAATGAAAATAATGTTATCTCTGATGATATCCTCACCATTGACATCCTCTGCAACCAGAGACGTGCACACGGTGAACACCTCATAAAATATGTTGAAGAGCACCACCTCACCTGAGTCACAGAACAGGTGATTGTGTGATTTAAATATAGATTTTATTTAACAGTGTTAAACATAATAGTATTGTTTTAATGCATTCATACCCAAAGAAAC